ACTTTGAACTTGGACTTAAAGCCTCCAAATTGTAAGAATAAACTCCTGTTTGTTAAGGCCATCCCATTTGTGGTATATTCTTGTCAGAGAGGCACTAGGTAACCCGAACATCATGTAATATGTACTTGTAGTCTTTTATTAATTGGCATAAAATTATAGGGTACTTTGCAATGTGACAGTTGTCAAGAATTCTTTTCATTGGATTATGATGAGATAAAAAGTTAAAGAATACTGCTTAGGAGTTTGGAGAAAACTGATCTGTCTCCAGTGTGTGATTTCAAGGTGACAATGGAATCTTTTCTTGCTTTAAAAGATTTCACAGCTTCTGCCTGAGAGATTTGCTGAGCAGCTGATTCGAGTGTACTGTAAGAAAACCGATAAAAAGAGTTTGGATGCTGCACAAAATCTTTTTAAAGAGTGGTGCTTCAGCAAGAATTTTCCCATACCACAAGTGAGTAGTTATTATTCACATAATTTGATAACTTTTATTTTTAAGTAAAAGCCAAAAGAGATTCTTTACAAGCTCTGAAAAGTTCTTGTTTAAATAAATTATAATGACTTAGTTATGGTTTTGAAAATGAAGTATTTCATTTTAAAATGTTTTTCTTTTAAAATGTCTGAATCTGTGTCCAATGGGTTTCTTCCTATACCAGTTGAAAGTAGGTGCTTTGTTGATTGTTATTGTTCAAATGGTAAAAGATTAGAACAGTGGACATGTGAATAGTGCTCTTCAGTGTTCTTAGTAATGTTTCCTCCAGGCCTCCCAGTGACCCCGAGAAATGGCAAATACTTTCCTGGGAAAATGACCTCATCTTTAGGAGGTTACTTAGGCTGAGTAGTCAACTTGTTTAAGGACTCGTACAACTAATAATAAGCTTTCTTACTTGTTATTTCAAACTTAGTGTCTCAAACATGGTTATTTCCGTACGTTAGTTATTGTTGTTGCTGTTGTTAGGTGCTGTTGAGTCGGCTCTGATTCATAGCAACCCTGTGTACAACAAACAGAACAAAACATTACCTGGTTCTGAGTCATCCTCACAGTCATTGCTATTCTTGAGCCCATGGTTACAGCCACTGTGTCAATCCATCTCATTGAGAGTCTTCCCCTTTTTTGCTGATTTTACCAAGCATTATCTTCTTCTCCAGGGACTGGTCCCTTCTGACATGACCAAAGTAGGTAAGACAAAGTCTGGCCATTCTTGTTTCCAAGGAACATTCTGGCTACACTTCTTCCAGGACAGATTTGTTCACTCTTGTGGCAATCTATGGCATTTTTAGTATTTTTTGCCAGCATTACAATTCAAAGGCATCAACTCTTCTTTGGTCTTCCTTGTTCATTGTCCAGCCTTCACACGCATATGAGGTGACTAAAAATACCATGCCTTGGGTCAAGCACACCTTAGTCTTCAAAGTGACATCTTTGCTCCTTAACACTTTAAGTAGGTCTTTTGCAGCAGATTTGTCCAGTGCAATATGATGTCTGACTTCTTGACTGCTGCTTCCATGGGTATTGATAATGGATCCAATTAAAATGATATCATTGACAACTTTAATATTTTCTCCATTTATCACTATGTCACTTATTGAACCAGTTGTGAGGATTTTTGTTTTCTTTATGGTAAGGTGTAATCCATACTGAAGACTATAGTCTTTGATCCTCATCAGTAAGTGCTCAAGTCATCTTCACTTTCAACAAGCAAGGTTCTGTCATACGCATAGTGCAGCTTTTTAATGAGTCTTCCTATCCTGATGCTGGGTTCTTCTTTATATAGTCCAGCTTCTTGCATTATTTTCTCAGCATATAGATTGAGTAAGTATGGTGAAAGGATACAACCCAGACAGACACTGTTCTTGATTTTAAACCATGCAGTATCCCTTTGTTCTGTTCGAACAACAGTCTCCTGGTTCCTCATGAGCACAGTTAAGTGTTCTGGAATTCCCATTCTTCTCAATGTTATCCATAATTTGTTATGATCCACACAGTTGAATGCCTTTGTAAAATCAATAAAACAGAAGTAAAAATCTTTCTGATATTGTTTACTTTCAGTCAAGATCCATCTGACATCAGCAATGATACCCCTTGTTTCACATCCTCTTCTGAATCCTGCTTGAATTTATGGAAGTTCCCTGTCAATGTACTGCTACAACCATTTTTGAATTATCTTCAGCAAAATTTTACTTGCATGTGATATTAATGATATTGTTCAATAATTTCCACATTCTGTTGGATCACCTTTCTTTGGAATGTGCGCAAATATTGATCTCTTCCAGTTGATTGTTCAGGTAGTTATCTTCTGAATTTCTTGACATAAGTGAGTAAGAGCCTCCAGCACTGCATCTGTTTGTTGAAACATCTCAGTGGGTATTCTTTCAATTCCTGGAGCCTTGTTTTTTGCCAATTCCCTCAGTGCAGTTTGAACTTCTTCCTTCAATACTATTGGGTCTTGATTATATGTTACCTCCAGAAAAGGCTGAACATCGACCAATTCTTTTTGGTACAGTGACTCTGTGTATTCCCTCCATCTTCTTTTCATGCTTCCTTCATTGTTTAATATTTTGCCCATAGAATCCTTCAATATTGCAACTTGAGGACTGAATTTTTTCTTCATTTCTTTCAACTTGAGAAATGATGAGCTTGTTCTTCTTTTTTGGTTTTCTGACTCCAAGTCTTTGCATACTTCATTATAATATTTTATTTTGTATTCTCAAGCTACCCTTAGAAATCTTCCTTTGATAATCTTTTGTTTCATCATTTCTTCCATTCACTGTAGCTACTTTCCATTCAAAAGCAAGTTTCAGAGTTTCATCTGACATCCATTTTGGTCTTTTCTTCCTTTACTGTCTTTTTAATGTCCTTTTGCTTTCTTTGTGTATGATGTTTATGAACTCATTCCACAACTTGTCTGGTCTTTAGTCATTGGTGTTCAATGCATCAAATCTGTTCTTCAGGTTGTCTCTAAATTCAGGTGGGATATACTCAAGGTTGTGTTTTGGCTCTCCTGGACTTATTTTAATTTTCTTCAGCTTCAATTTGAACCTTGTTTTGACTGAAGATACTGAGCTTCTCCATCACCTCTTTCCACAGATGTAGTCAATCTGATTCCTGTGTATTCCATCTGCAAAAGTCTACATGTATAGCCACCATTTATGTTATTGAAAAAGGTATTTTCAGTAAATAAGTCACTAGTCTTGCAGAATTCTTGCAACTCTGATGTAATTTCTATCACTGAGGCCATATTTTCCAACTACTGAAGCATCTTCTTTGTTTCCAACTTTTTCATTCCAATCACCAGTAATAATCAATGCATCTTGACTGCATGTTTAGAGTTTCAGACTGCAAAAGTTGTAGTTGTTGTTGTTGTTGTTATGTGCCGTGGAGTCGAACCTGACTCATAGCGACCCTTCTTTGGGTTTCTGAGGTGGTATCACTACGGAAGTAGATTGCCCAACCTTCCTTCTGAGGAGTGGCTGGTGGGTTTGAACTGCCAGCCTTCTGGTTAGCAGTCAAGTGCCTTAGGCACTATGCTACCAGAGCTCCTGCAAAAGTTGGTAAAAACCTTCAATTTCTTCATCTTTGGCTTTAGTGGTTGGTGCATAAATTTGAATAATAGTTGTTTTAAGAGGTATTCCTTGTAGGTGTTTGTATGTTATCCTATCACTAACAGCATTGTACCTCAGGATAGATCTTGAAATGCTCTTTTTGACAATGGATGTAATGCCATTTCTCTTCAGTTTATCATTCCCAGCATAGCAGATCATAAAATTGTCTGATTCAAAATGGCCAATACCAGTCCTAACAACTCACTAACACCTAGAGTATCAGTCTTTATCTGTTCCATTTCATTTTTGACAACTTGCAATTTTCCTCGATTCATACTTCCTACATTCCACATTCCTATAATTCATGAATGTTTGCAGCTGTTTTTTCTTATTTTGATTCGTGTCCCATCAGCACATGAAGGTCCCAAAACCTTGGTTCCATCCATGTCATTAAGGTCCACTCTACTTTGAGGAGGCAGCTCTTCCCCACTCATCACTGGAGTGCCTTCCAAGTTTAGGGGCTTATCTTCTGGCACTATATCAGACAATATTTCACTGCTATTTATAAGATTTTCATTCACCACTTTTTTTCAGAAGTGAATGGCCCCACCTTTCTTCCTAGTCTGACTTAGTCTGGAAGCTCTGCTGAAACCTATCCACCATGGGTGACTCTGCTAGTATTTGAAATACCAATGGCATAGGTCCAGCCTCACAACACCACACAAACCACCACAGTGTGACAAACTAGCAGATGAGTGGTATATTGGTACACTATTTAAATTCTCTACTACAATACAATTGAGAGGAAGAGGAACCCTGCTGTAACTGCCCACCTTGTAAAGAATGCTTTTAAAATTGTACATTATTGATTTATACATCATAGCTGCCTGGCACACAGGAAGTGACTGATTGATGTTTGTTGACTGACTGAATGAATGTAATAGGCAGGTAGGTGGGAAGCACATTCTGTTCCTAGTCTAGTACTCTCCCTTATAATCCTATGGCTGCCTTTTTATACTGTGTCTGGAGCTGAAGGAAACAAAAAGGAAAAGCTAGACATGAACTGCTCAGTTGATACTTTATCAAATGCCAGAAGGAATAATATAAGTAAGTTTTAATAGTATTCAGAGAGTTGGGAGAGCAGTCTGAAAAGCCTGTGACAGAAGGGGAATTCTCCTCGATCTGAAAAGGTGGATTGTGACTGAGTGCATAGCAGGGAGAAGGGTGGACATTTTTGGCAATGAGAGTAGCACTAAGGCATGAAACTGGAACAAACTGAGTGTGTTTAGGGCATCATGAGGAAACCAGTCTGACCAGAGTAGAAAATTCTTATTGTTGAATGGTGAGAGACTAAATGGGAAAAATAGACTAGATTATGGAGAACCTTGGATAATCTAAGAAAGGATTTTTAAGGGAGCTCTGGTGGTGTAGTGCTGAAGACATTTGACTGCTAACCAGAATGCTGGCGGTTCAAACCCACCAGCCACTCCTTGGAAGGAAGAATTGGCGATGTACTTCCATAGAGATACCTCTTTGGAAACCCAAGGAGGGGTTGCTATGAGTCGAATCAACTTGACGGCAATGAGTTTGGTTTTGGAGTGGGGAAGGAGCTCTAGTGGCATAGTGGGTAAGTCATTTGCCTGCTAACCAGAAGATCAGTGGTTCAAACCCACCAGCTGCTCCATGGGAGGGAAGAAGATTATGCAATCTACTTCCATAAAGAGTTACAGCCTTAGAAACTCAATGGGTGTCTCTATGAGTTGGAATTGACTTGATAACAGCTCCAGACACAGTATAAAAAGAGGGTGTTTGTTAATGTCCATGGGTGGTGTAAACTACTAACCTAAAGGTTGGTGCTTTCAATCCACCCAGCTGCACCATGGAAGGAATGCCTGGCATTCTGCTTCTGCAAAGATCACAGCCAAGAAAATCATATGGAGTAGCTCTACTCTATAACACATGTCACCATGAGTCAGAATCAGCTGGACAGCCATGGGTTTGGCTTTGGGCTTTTCTTTGTGTGTTTGTTATCTCCCACTAGAGTGAGATCCATGAGAATAAAGGACTGTGAGGTAATGTAACACCTAAAGAAACTAAACCAAACTCTAGTTGTAAATGGCTTGGAACTTGGAGATAGTGGAAGCAGAGAGACAAGAGGCTATTAAAGTTATCAGCAATGTGGTGATAACTGCCTGAAATTTAGGTACATTTTTTCATTAAAGAGTATGTTTACCAGGTACTGTGTTAGGTAAAACGGATTTAACAGTGGGATGGGGACTGGGGTGTTATTCATAGTCTTACAAACCAAGAGCAATGGGCAGCCATTGAAGTGTTTTAAGCAGGAAAGCAATATGTTCAAGTTTGCATTTATAAAATTCATTAGAGTTCAGATTTGAATGGGTAGAAATGGAAATGAGTTTGGCAATACATGTTGTTGACTTGAGATAGATGGGTCTTCCAAGTTAGGCTATCATGGCAACTGAGTGGCTATATCAGTCAAATCCAATCAGGAAAACAGAACTTGTGCTGGGTTGTTCAACAATAGAAATTGAATAAGCGGAATGAGATACAAAAGTTTTGACAGAGCTAAATGAACAAACAGAGGTCAGGGATGCCATTGCAGCTGTGTTTAGGGTAGGTGGGACCAGGGAGGAGATGTGAGTCCAGGAGCTAAGGCCACCTGCAGAAGCTAAAATCACAGAAGAGACAAAGCCACTGTCTCCAGTGCTTTCCATTGGGCAAACCTCAACTGGAAGCTATTAACATTGGGAGTTAGGATATGTAGTGTGTAGGATAACTTCTGAAATACAGCGTATAGCAGAGGAAGGGTGGGAAATGGATGTGAGCACAAAGAGACAAAGGAGGTGCAGAGCATCCTACCACAAACATTATTTTCCTAATATAATGGAAGCTTTCAACCATCCTATACCTTCACATAACCCAAGATACCTACCCACAAGTTCAAGAACAGTGAGTTAGAGTCAGATGTTAGAAAGAAAGCTTCTGCTTCCAGTCATGGTGCCACTGAACTTTGAGGCCATCCCTCACTTTTGGTAGAGGAGCTCATTTGGTTGGGGTTTACTGCTGATGGACCCAAGGTTGTAGTTCTGATTGCAAAGAAGAGTTCAAAATCTACAGGTACATACTGCCGTGCCCTTTCTTGCTATCTTTTAGACCCTTTATTACAGAGAGGACTAGACCAGAGGAGCATGGGTCTAATAGAGGCCTTCTTGCTGTTAGAAAAATGGAGCAGTGTTGTGTTCCATGAAAGAATATGAAGGTTTTAAGGTCATAAAACTGGGCACTCTTGAGGACTATTACATCCCTTGGTTGCTTCCAGACATTTTGGAAAATAAGAGGTCTGAGGGCTTTTGCCGTGAAGGCTCTTCTTACCTGCTTAGGACTGTGGCATTCCCAATTTGACCCAAGCACTGAACATATATATGATTTGGGGTTTCTTAAGAGTAAGTATTTCTAGAAGCAAACTGTCTACCAGAAAAAGTATAGACAGGTTGCAATCCCATGAACAATTTTATCTCAACAAAATTGAAATGATTTTAAAAAAAAGAGAGTGAGAAGGATATGTATACCTGAGAGCCTCCTGGCTTTTTCCTGTTAACTACTTTTTTTTTTATTAGGATTTGGGTGAAGATTTACAGAGTAAATTCACTTTTCATACAGCAGTTCACATATACTTTGTCTCATGTCATTGACCAAAATTTACAATGCAGCAGCTCCCCTCCCACTTCCTCCCCATAGTTACCTCCTCCCAGTGTCCATCCCTTCATACTCTTCTGCACCCTGAGCTATCTCCCTGTGCATAAGCAGCCCTTCCTTCTCCCATGATTGTTCTCTCCAGGGCATGTGTCTACTTGAGGTAAATCCTGTTAACTACTTTTGTTGCTCTTTCTTTTAGGATGACGATGTTAGAAACCAACCCAAAACACCTGCAAAACAGGATAAGCATTGCCCATCTTCAGATCCGAGTTTATCTTGTGGCCCAGAAAAACCCAAAGTCAAACGCCAGCTTTTTAATGATAAATCGCCTGGATGTGAGGAAAAGCCTTCTCCCTAAGGCAATTTAGGGAATTCAATCAGAATTCCACAAATTTAATGAAAACTAGGTTTTTTGTTTTATATTTTGAATGTACACATACACCAGGGCTAACTAACTTTTTATTCAAAGGGTATTAGGGAAATCTTGGTATACATGCTATGAAAAGTATAGCCTTGCTTATTTTTAATATTAATTCAAACCTTTTCCTTTTGCAGGAAATAGTACTCTATTTTTTTAGGCTAACAACTCTTCTATAAACTATAAACTCTTATAACAAATGATTGTTTTTTCAAAAATATTTGGAAATGAGACAAGGGTACACATTGGAATTTGAAACTGGAATAGTCATGAACAGCCTTGAGTAAAAACAAAACATGAAATCCTAACCCCCCAACACGAGAATAGTCCTCCTTACATCATCTGAAGGTGCGTGAAAGATACCTTCCCTGGCCCTTGTAACCCCAAAGCACTGCCAGGTTGGGGTAAACAGTAGGAGATGAGATTGGCGTGAGCTCCAGCTCTTTGGTGAGAGGCCTGATTAAGTTATTCAGAAGATCTACAGGCTCTGGGCTCCTCTTAAGTGGAACATAAAACCACCTTTTATAGCCCTGTGACAGAGGGATCCTCCAAAACTACTCCCTGGATCAGTTGTGATTCCAGACCCAGGCAGTTTCTTTCACTCTGACTACTCACTGCCCAAGTTTCTCTGCCTAACCTAGAGAAGACCTCCCCTCTGTAACTCCTTTGTGAGTAGAGCAGATGTCAGGACAGAAACCTTCCTCAGGTCCTGCTCAGAGCTGGGGCTTCATTTCTGCCATTTCATTGCAATTTATGGGAATCAGAGCAAAGACTGCAGTGCCTGTTGCAAAAACGGCAAGGAGGCCACATGTTCTGACCTCCTCTAACCCTACAAGGGGAAGGCAGGATCACCAGCAGTAAACCAAGGCCTATTACTACAAGGCCAGACATGCTGCCTCCCTCCAGCCCTTCCTCCAACCGTTCCTCCCAAAGCACCCACCACCTCTCTCCTGGGTTCGATAATTCACTGCAGTGACCACACAGAGCTCACAGATTATGGGGTTTATTAGGGAAGCACTACAGGCTACAATTCCAGTTCAGGAAAAATGCTCAGTCTCTCTCCCAGCCCACCGTCCCTCTGCCAACAGTCTCTCGCAGTCTCTTTCCTAGCGGTGCTGGTCCCTCAGTGTCTCACTCAGTGATGCGTGTCTCTTGCGTCTCTTTCCCAGCAACGCGTGTCTCGGGAGCCCGTGTCTCTTTCAGCAGCATGTCTTCCTCAACCAGCAGTCAGAGAGAGTTCTGCCTCCAGGAGGCCTCCTTTTGAGCCCGGCAGGGTGGTCAAACTAGCCAATCATAGCATCAGAACTCTACGCACCTGAGAGAGAGTGGGCACCTCCCAGAACATTGTTTTGTGCCACGCCCAACAGAAATACTCCAGGTGGACACCTTCAGCAATCAGGAGCTCCTCAGTTGCTCATAGCAAATCCCATCTTGGTGTTTACAAAGACTTATGGGTAGAAAAGCCACACAAAGTAATTTACTACTCTGCACCTGTGCTGGGGTTAGTGCTTACCCAGTGAACTCCAGGTTCCTGTCTAGATCTGTATTTTCCCAGCACTTTCTCTTTGCTCCAGCAGTGGATTGAGCACTACTATGGTGGAACAGTGCTTCCGTGCCCAGGGAAACCCTCTTACATCCCCAGTTCTGAGTTCATGAAGAATAAAGTTGTGGGGTTAGAGCCTAAGGTGGTGGTGTCAGAGAGCCCTGAAGATTAAGGGCAGTAGGAGAGGGAAGCCACTGGCTCCTAAAATCTTATCCTTTGGCATGCCCTTTACAAAAGCCTCCCTAGTAAGTTAGGAGTGAAGGGCAGGCAGCCAGCTCAAGCTGGAGGAACCCAGACCACAGCCCAGCAGATGACCCATGAATAACCCCTGTATAACCAGGTTCTGTTCTGTACACACACTAGGGTGGAAGTGTTTGAAGTGTCTGACATCCTGCCCCTCCCATTCTCTCATGAAACAGCTGAGACTTAACCATAATCCATAGGAGAATAGTTGAAGACCCTTCACCCCCACCCCATTGTGATGCTGCACAGGTGGGATATGGTTCCCATGTGGGCTCAGAGAAGGCCAAATAAGGGGATGCAAGGTCCTGGGTACTGGGGTCATAGCTGTCCTGGCCAAGGCCCTCTAACACATCGAGGGAGGAGAGCTGCGGGTCTCAGACTTTGTGTGCCCAGACTCACAATTATGAATCTAATATTTTTGGTGCTGACACTGTGTTATTTTTGCATATCCTACCTTTAAATCATTGTGGTTTGCTCTGGAATTTTGTAGTCCAATCTTGTATCCATCGTGCTATCTGAAAAACAACTTGGAACTATTTTGTTTGCTTCTTTTGTTTCATATAAGGCAGCTCCACTTTATGCTCTGTGCAACTGTTTTAATGAAGAGAAATGTGTCATTTACTGGGTTAAATTTTTCTTAAGCAACATCTTCACTATTTGTATAAATACGGAAACTTCAACAGCTTAGCCTGTAGAGTTACTGAGGATGTCACCTTGAGAATGTAAATAGAACTGCAAGGTAAAATGACTGGTTAGTTCAACTGGGTGAGGGAAACAGTTGCAATAAAGCTTCCTGAATGTATTTCCACCTTGAAACCAAAGGTGTTCTCCTTAATGACTCTCTCACATTGTGTTTTGTGCCCAGTTTTGACCCTTTTGTACAAAGGAAATGAAGGTTGTGTTGGAATCTGCCCAGATGTTTCTTAGTACTCAACACTGTATTGGGTCTGTGAGAGGGAATGGTGTTCACTTTTCCTTGTTCAATAGCTGCCAAGTGATGGCATAGTGAAGAATCCTTTCCTCCTAGCAGGAGGCAGACACTTGCATGGGAAGGGAAATGGACTTTTCTGACTTCCAATTGGTCTAGGAAACTGCTCCCTTGCTATTAACCTCCCTGAGGTTCCCACCTACAGAGGTTTCAAGTTCTTTTTCCAGATATGCACATTGCTCATTTGCTGTTTTAACATCTTCCTCATGAAATTAAATGAGATCATGGATTTGCAAGCACCTGGCACACTGATGGTGGACAGACAGCCCCAATGTCCTAAAAACACAACAGGAATGATGCTAATAGAGTGTTTATTAATTTGGTTGAGCCCAGGTTTCTGTGGATTGACAATACTCTGTCAGCTAAAATAATTTCCAAACTATGTAGAGAATAGACTCCCTTTTTCAGAATAAACTATATATTCATGAGAAATTGTCTGAAAGGATATACTGGAAAATATTAGTGGTTTTTTTGGGGGATGTGATTTAATTGTAGGTCATTTTATTTGATTTTTAAGTCTTCTGTGTTTTCTACATTAAGCATGTATTGATTGTATAATTTCTCAAAAGATCATTTCACTGCAGAGCTTTGCACCTCTGGGTAAGGTGTAAGTATCTTTCCTCCAGTTATCTCTAGAAATGCCTGCCTCTATTCCCGTCTTAGACCCCCAGGCCACAGCACAGCTAGTGAAGAGTCACAGTCAGTGCTAGGATGCTTCACCATCCATGTTTCTGACTGAATAGGCTGCCCCAGGCTGCCTGTGTGAGGCAGACCTAGACGGCATCCATGAGCAGGTCTAATACTTATTATCACAAGAACCTGCCCCACCCCCAAGATGTCAGCTCTGTACCCAGGCCTCTAGTTTCTTGATGCAGAACTCCTCCTGCTGGTCCAGCACAACATTGATGAAGTCGCACAGGGATGGCTTCCCCCATGATATAAATTTTCATCCAATCGCAGCCCAAACTGACCACTGAGGAGAAGAGGAAAATCTTGGTGTGCTTTCATCCTGGATGTTGAGATCTTTCAGCTCTATCATGACTACAGTCTATTCTGCTAAAGAAAAACACCTCAGGTTCATAAATATTCTGCAGAGGCCCTTTAATGAAGCTTTAAACAGGACAAAAACAATCACTCAAATCAGGGAGACAGTCAGTACGTACCCAGCACAGATGTCAATGGAATCCACTGAATCAGTCATGGTGTTCATTAAATGACACAGACAGAGAAAATCATCACAGGATCATGACTGATGGCAGGCCAGTTTGCCACTGTCATCATAGGTGGCAGTACAGAAGCAGAGAGAGGTCTGGTCTTAGATTTTGGGATTAGTTGTCCATGCCGGTTTAATCTGTTTGTCATCCTGGCGATTTTGAATTTTAGATAGAGTCCTTTAGTTGGTTGAACTGTCCAAAGTAGGAAGAGCAGTTTTCCTCAGTTCGAAGAGGTGTGTCCAGGTCTTAACTCCCTGTAATTTAGTGGCACGAGGTTTAGCAGGGAGAAGTATATATGGTCTTTTTCAGTGAGACGCCACAGAATCTTTTAGCTGATGTCTTTTCGTATATGTTTTATATATACATATTCCTCTGGAACAATGTTATGCAGATTTTTGGGATTTTGATTTTGGGATGTTAAAAGCTCCTTTAACCTGGGAAAACATATTTTGGACTATTGGATTAAAAATTATCATATTACAGTCAGCATAAATCACAGAAAGTAGGCTTTTGGTTTTGAAGAACCATTTTTCTCATCATTGTCATTCAGCATTCATTTTTTTGAGTTTATGGGCAGAATCATTTAAAACACTATGTTTTTAGTCAGAATTTTTATATGTGCTATCACATATTCTAATCCTATTTGAGGTTGAAAAATAGAAGTTAAATGGTCACACCATTGAAATACAGATCTGGACTAAGAAAGAAGGAAAATAAAATGGTTTTTTATATCTGAAAAATAGCACATTGAATATTAGCAATATTCTTATGTAAATCTTATAGATTTTGTTTATGTTTACTCAGTCCAGTGAAGTGAATCTTGGTTTTGGGCAACTCTGGGTTAACAGCAACTTGAAAAACTTAGTTTCTATATAAGAATTTTTAAAAACTTGATTTAGTATAGTGACATTTATGTTTAGTCTTCTTTATGAGTCTATTATAGTCCATTTTG